TTCTTCCCTGTTATACAATGCCACATTTTGTTTAAGATATTAATCGCTCATGGGTTGAATATCCAAAAAATATAATTAATGAAAAAGTATAATATAATTGTTCGGGCTTTGATGAATTGGGGCATAATGTTAAATAATTATTCATTGCCTTTATTCTTCCGTCTAAGTATGCAAGAAAAAGCAGATTTTTATTGCTTTTTTTAATATAAGGACATGGGCTTTTGTGACATGCATTTTATTTTAAACTAATGCTTCTATTATTCCACATTTGAATAATTTTAGCTGACATCATCTACTCTTCCGTGACCTAGAAGATCTTTAGCTCTAGCACACTGTTACATATTTTATGCATTACATGAAATAAAACACCTCAAGATTTCAAAAATATTTATTTTAAAAACAGCAATGAAATTGTCTGTAATCACATTTTCTGCTCTGCTTTGAAAGCAGCATTATTCAATATGCCAGTGGTCTTTTCCATAAGAGCAACATATTAGAAATTCATGCTGCTCTAATATATCTGAATTCCTTGATGTACTGCACTCCCTATAGACCTAAAGGAACATTTTTGCTCCAGTTTCATATGTCCTGCACATTACCTACTGATGTGGTGGTTGTCAAAACAGTTGTACAGTGGCCTTTGAATTCAAAGTGTGCCTTGACTGTATACTAAAAATGACAATAAACCTAAGTATATACATTATTCTGGCTTTTGTTGCCAGCATAAATAGAGCATTTGGGAAATAAACCCCTGATTTTATTGTCTTTTAACATATTTTCCACTTTAAATTTGAAACCCAGAAATTTGAAGCATATCAAGAAACTGAAATCTTCTATTTCTTTCTTGTAAATTTTCTACAGTATACCATCATGAGCCACATTTTCAAAAAGGTCAGCACAAGATTACAAATGAAAGCATTCCAGAAATAGGTTGGGGGTTTTATCCCACTGTGTAAAAACAGCATTGTGATTTTTAACCCTGATTTCTTGCAGAAAAATCAGCTATCTATAGGATACGCTAAAGAAGCTGAAATGTCTATAATTTTATGCATACATAGAAAAACTCATTTTATAGAATACATCCAAAAGCATTTTTGCAGATAAATACGCATTTTCATACAACATGCATTTTTTGAAAATGTTAGAAGGGTAACTCTTGTGGTCCTTGAAAATATCCTTTGGGATATTTCAGGAAAACTCACACCAACAGAGAAAGGCTGGCAGGTCAAGCCCTAGCTGGGGTCTAACCAAGCTCACACAGTCTTCAACCAGGAAGGGATCCTCACCCCATTACATAGAAGCAAACATGTTTACCAGACCATTAAGTATATTTTCATTAAACAAACAGTTCTAAGTATATCAAATTGCAACCAATTAAGAAGCAGGAATAGAAGTCATATCCATTTTGAAGGAGGATTTTTGAGGGCTCCCACGTTGGGGCTGGACTGTGGGTCAATACCACCGTGACTCACATTCTGCACAAATTGTGTAGATTTCTGAAGCCCTGATATTCAGACATAATGAGAGCCTAAAGGAATCTGTATGTGACAGCATGATATAAATTAACATGTGCATGTGTATATTATATATCTCAACTAAGAAGAAATACAGAAACACACAAACATAGAAGTAAATATCTGAACTGACAGCAGAATAATGAGAAGAAAAAATTTAGTGGTGGTGTTCTATTTTTTTTAAATAGTGGGTATGTAATATAAAAATCCAATCAATCAAAAAAAAAACTTCAAAGAAGGTTAATTCCAAATTTAAGTCACTGTCAATGGCAATGAGAAATTTTCATCTCCCAGTATTGTAAAAATTTTTTTAGAAAGAATTCCCACAGTGTAAAAATGTGTAAGAAGCCGATCCCTAATATGAATTCACTGAGCTGGTAGTGGGCTCATATTGTATTTAAGCACTTCTGCAGAGGAGACTTCTTAGAGAGATTGGGGTAAATCCTGAAAACCTTAATGAAAGGGATTTCATCTGCAGCTTGGAGGGAGTACTGCACAGTATGAAACAGAGACTTCTGATGGGGGGAGATTTGATGGGGTTTTAGGAAAGGTACATCTTCAATTTTCAATCTGTCCAAAATCACAAAAATCCTCATCTGAAAACACTTGGTAGTTGAGATGGACGAAAACCACTATACTTAGTGTATGAACTATTTTCCAACTGTTTCTGAGCTCACTGAGATTCTTTCTTCACATTTGGCTAGCATTAAGTAATGCTTTGGCTATAAAAACACAAACTGAAAAACACTCACTAGTTCTAATACAGATAAAAAAATATTTTATTGCTAAAATATCAACATGTGTTAAAAACTAGCTAAAAAGAGGGATGTTTAAAGTAAAGAAAGAACCAAATTCAATCAGAGGCACATTGCAATGCAGCTGAATTTGTCCCAACGTAAGTACAATTTGCTGAAGATGTAAAATTAATTAGGGATAGAGAACAGCCAACAGATTCATTTCTAAGAATATTTTTTCTAAAAATACCCATTAGTGCCCTGAAAAATGAAGTGAGACACATGTTTTCCAAGTACACTAAACGGTACTTGATATGCTAGAAATTAAATGGAACCAAGGGTTTAGATAGATTGGAGGAACTTACAAATTATGTTCTATATGAGGCAATATAGGAGTGGTTTAGACAAGAACATGTTAAATGGATCAGAGTTTGATGAGATAGTAAAAAGGAAACTTGGAGATGAGTAATAGCACAAAAAAAGAGTCATATTGAAGAAAAAATGTTAAATGTTCTGGATTATAAAGATTCAAAACTAAGTAAAGAATGTTAACTCTACAAAATCCCATTTTTTGTCAACAGCGCAAAGCCAAAAGAACAATGGGGTCATTCTACTCACTTGAAGAAGTCACTGAATTCACTGAAGAATTAAATTATTTCCCTCAAGTTAATTTCTCTCAAGTTATCAAATTCAAATCAGAGGAGCTGTACTGCCAAACAGTGTTTGAACTCTATGAATCGAGGTGTTAACACCGTACCAGTTGTACTAACGTGAGCTGTAGCTTCATCCCCTGCACAGACAAGCCAGCTCGAGTTAAAACTACTGCAAGGTAAGAGGCACTCTTGTGCAAAAAGGGCATGCAAGTTAGGGATAACAGTTGATTTAGAGTATGACACTTCAAGGATCATGCTTTATTTATTGAACAAATCCTCAGAAATTACTGTCAAAATTCAGCACATATTTTCTTGACATCTGATTTTCATCTCTGCTGATCTTCACTAAGTCCCAATAGCAAAATTTCCGAGTTATATCATTCAACTCTTCTGTATTTACTCTCAATGTGATTATTCACTGCGATGATATACACACTCAAGGCCCTTTGTTCAGAGCTTGTTGCAAAAGGTTAATGTGAAACATCACAGCTTAAAAGAATGCATAGTTCTGAGCCATAACCATGGCTCAAAAGAGGTCAATTCAATGAAATACGGTCTGTCTTGACTAGAGTGTCAAGCATTTCTCTTACTTTTTCAAGTACTTTCATAGCTCTGATTCTCAGAACCCCACACAAGATTTTGCTCCAAGCTCTTTAATCCATGCCATCAGCTTTGTAGACAAACAAGGAAAATATAGGCTCTTTCCATAGAGCATATTTATATTTCTCTATATAAATCTGCCTCTCCTCCACTTCTTCCATTATTGAACATCACCCTGGGGTCATGTTCTGACCTCAAACACAAAGTGTGTAACATCCTAGCAAATCAATAACAACTGTGCAACATATAAGAAGCCAATACTTGTGCTCGCTGCTTTTTGGACATCTTCAGAGGGAATGTAGAACTCCTCAAAATCAAGGTAGCTTTATTTTAATTAAGTTGCAAAGAAGCCATGTGACAAGGCAGATTTTTGTGGTAAACTGAGTCTTTCCCAGCCACCATGGCCCCTGGCTCTGGGGCTGTTAGTCTGAAGGGCTGATGGGGAGCTGAATCTAGATCCCTCACTACCCAAACCTCCATATGTTGTGTCAGCTCTCAGGTTCCCAGGGCTGATTTATGTTTTTTAGATAATATGGTGGGGAGCTAGGAAGCTGAGAAGCCTAAACAGCCTCAGTCCCTAAGTGCAGAACTTTTGGTGAGAAGCCCAGACCTTTCATCTCTAGGAACAATAGATTCTTAACTTTGGCTGTTGGGATCTGCAGCTCCTGGGCAGCCCATTTACCCCACCTAGTGCTTTAAGTGCTGTGAGCTACACACAATGTCAGGCTCCATCCTCTTTCATGGGATTTTTACCTCTTTGGGTTAGAATTGTACATCAATGTGAAATAATCTTGTCTGGAGCTGCTATGCAAGAAGTATACTAATTAATTGTAGAGCCCACTTGAAAATGTAACGTGTAAAGTAGCTCTGCAGTTGTTGCAAGCAATTTAACATTCAAAGAAGTGATTTATAATATCAGGCTTCTCAAGATTACGACCATAATGACTATCTGACAGACTTTATAAGCAAGTTGTCCAGTCATTTCAATTGGATTCTGGCTGGCTAAGGACTGGGAACTGTAAAAAGGCTGTAAGATTTGGCCTAGAATCAGAAATAACATTTGCTGTTTTCCAAACGTGCGGTAAACAAGAAAGGAGATATTAAATTTTTGTACATCTCTCAGCACATGCAAATGAGAATGGAAAGAGCCTCATCAGACAAATACAGAACAACGGCCATCTGGATCCAAACCCTGCTCCAGCAGAAGTCAGAGCCTCTTTCTGTCATTATTTACATCCCTGTAAAGCAGGAACACTTCTACCCAAGGCAGTGGAAGGCAACACCCTGGCTTTGTGGAACTCAGCTGAAAATCCCCCCTCACCTCTGCCGGGGGGAGGATTTGACACAAGGAATGCAATGTAACACCCAGACTCACGCCAGTGCACTCCAAAATTTGAGTGGTGCAGGTGTTGGCCCCCCTTGAAGGATTTCAAATAGGTCTGTATTTCCATGATTTTGCACTTAAAAAAGAAAAGAAGGGAAAGACTAAAAGTGCTTACCACAGAGAGGGAATTGGAAAGCAGTGTCCCGTCTTGGCCAAGCATGTTGGAAACTGTAATTTCAGGTAGATCCATGTTTTGAGGGTGGAATGGAAGGAGGCCATTGTGGTTCATGGGATGACACAGGGAGTGGTACCCAGACTCTATCTCATTCAAGTGCACCAGGGAGTGGTCAGGCAATGACGGAGGAGTTATAGGAGGTATGTTAAAATCTTCACTTTCGAGACTTGGGCCAGGAAAAGACTGGGAAAAAAAAACAACAAATGGAAAGTGCTAAGAAAAAATCATATGAGCACTGGTCAATAATAACAATAAAAGTCATACAAAACAAAAGAACCAAACTCACATACTTCTAAACACAATCTACAGTTTAACAGAGAATATTTTCAAGACCCATATATTATGCAAGTGAAGTCTCACCATTATGTATGGAGGAAAAAAATGCCTCTAAGGCATAAGAATCTATGATACTTTTCCCTTAGAAAATAGTTTTTTTAAAGAAGGTGAACTCAAAAGGATTTCAAGGGTCCTATTAAAATTTTCCGAGAGCATCCATCTAGCTGAATACCTTTTTCATGAGAATTGTGGAAAAGGGAATGCAATTTATAAAATTAATATTGGCAAAAAATGTTTCATTTTAATCCTTGCTACTCAGACCAAGAATTAGATAGTGAAGAAAGATACCACTTTTATACTTATGGGAGTGGCAAACATTTATTCAGCTACAAAGAAAAAGAAACAGTACATACTTAATATGAGTACACTTTGTGTTTATAAAAATACATTTGAAGTGTCTAAAAAAATTCTTTTTCTTTCTTAATCCGTAAACTGAATTATACATACATTTTGTCAGTTATCTGAATTAGTAACTCCGCCAAACAACTGTTAAGTCTTTTGTTGTCTGCTGCCATTAAGTCATCCAACTCAATCTCATCCAAGGAAAAGCCACAGGCAAAATCAGAGTAATGCAGAGTAAGGTGGATAATTGCTATTATTTATGTACAGTTTTTGTACAGCAGGTAGGCTCATTTGTGGGATAGGGTGGGTATGTGCATATTTCTTAAAAGGAAAAGGTGAACATAATAAAGAGGTAAGGAGATCAGTTGCAATGGCTCAGCCTGAAAGCCTGCTCTGCTTTTCTGAGAACAGCCAACGCCTTTGCAAAGTGATCAGTCTTTGCACATCCCATGCCCACAGTCAGGAGATTTATAGCACAGAGACTACTCCCACCCTTCCTGCCCCTCTTCAGAACAGCAGTCCTGCTCTGAGTGCTGCTTTTGTTAATTCTGGAAATGCAAGGATTTAAATACATTCTGCTCCTGAAAAGTATCACCAGAAAGGATGAGAGCACAATTTCAAAGAGCAGCTATTGGAAGAAAATGCTTTCCCCAGTATGATGTTCCAAATGGAGGACAGTACGCTGTATGAATTCATGCAGAAGGACAAGGGAAGAATCAATGGCCAATTATAAACAAAGGGATTTTTCATTAGTCATCATAGTAATAATGTCCTTCTGATGCCTGAGGTTACTCTCCTCTGTACGAGCATATATAAACTTAAATCAGACCAAAACAGTGTTAAATGCTTTCAGTGAGCTGGTGAACACAGAAAAACCTCCTCTAATGCACATTGACATGGTTTTGGCTGCTTTGTTTTTTCCCAAAAAGGTTTTAATCTCTTTACCAAATATCTTAGTATGAAATAGAACAGGAATTCTAGACTGGAAAGGCCAAAGTGAAATGTCCAAAAACGAAAACAACAGAACAGGGTTCGACAGTGACATTATCACTGTTATGTGTGAGGACTTTGATTCTACCCATGCATTCCAGCTGTGTTTCTCACCTCTAGCACAGGAGTTTGCTCTCCTTTGCCCCAGCTTTCTCCTTAATGGCAAGCTGGTGTGAGTCTACTGACCTCTGTAAGTTGCATTTGCCCCCACTTTTACAAGCTATGATGCAGCCACTTCTCCAACGGGAAATACTGTAAAATAGAGCCTCACTAAATGGAGAGAAGGCTTAAACATGGCAAAGAGAACATCTCATTTACTCAATAACAATGTGTAAATTTTGCAAATCCAAATAAAAGTATTAGGGACAATGCAAACACTACCTAGTTGCTAATTACTATTATATAAAATCCATGATGAAAAAAAGGGAATTTAAATTAGATCTTAAAGTGACTTTAAGATCTAATACCATAATAAGTAAACAGCTAGGAAAAGAAATGAAGGAAGGGATAACATCCATAATGCTGTCCTAGACCAGCACTATCCCTGCAGGCACACTTAGATTTGGTAACTGTAATCCTGGTGAGCTTGGATCCATGTAGCCTACAGCTTCCAGGAGGGATTCATTATCTGTGGAAAGATGACATTTATGTTCAACAGTGTCTTTTCTACTGTCCCAAAAGACTTATGGCCTCAAAAGAGTTTTCTGTCCCCTGATTTTGCAGGTGGAAAGTATTAACATCTACTTTCTCTCTCTCACACTGTCCTGTGAGACTTAAGTTCGCTACATTTTTTAAAAGCAAGTACTCCAAAATCAAATATTGACAGACTACTGGAGGCATTTAGCATATCTGCTTATTTGTACACCTCTTTTTGCATGTCACATACGGATGGACCAGATTTTACTTTAGATTCTTTGTGTTTCAGCTGTGTCTTTAACTAGTAATACTTCAAAAATGGTGGAATCAATTGAACTTCCAGTAGGACATTAGCTTCACTTATTAAGAAGGAAGTATAAAGCACTTGCAGCTCCACAATCCAAGTTGTGTCATGTGTAGGTATGTAACAATGTTATATATATTATATGGGTAAAGCATTTTAAATAAATGGTAGTTCTCTGATTAATTACTAAAAAAATATCACAGCATGGTTGTTGCTTGTGAGCCAGTTAGGAGTGTAGTTGATCCCACATCACCTACAATATCATTGTCCACTACACTTACACATAGGATTAGAATAGTGACAGCCATAATGACACACCAAATAACATATAATTCAAATTATAGTATTTCCTATGTTTCTCTATTTAAAATTTTTTTCTTAAGACAAAAACTATTGGACAATTTCAGTAAAGCTAGGCAAAATCCAAGCTATATGCTAAGACAGATACTCAAAAGCATCTGCAGAGCACCCTATGCACCTTACATTTTCAGCCAGTTTGATATTTCCATGCTCAGTATTGTGTGGATGTAACACATATGGACATAACTTCCTCAGGGATGCTACTTCAACAGTAATTTGCTGGTATTTGTCTCATCCAGGAGCTTCGTTCAGATGCTTGTAATGACTTAGCATACTGGCACATCAAACCCAAAATTCCTAGATAGATCTGCAACAAACCCAACATATCCCAGAAACAAGGCTGTTGCAACTGTGCCTGGAGGAAAGGCACGAGGAATGGGACATGTGCTTGTCCTGTGAATAGCAGCTATAAGCTTCAAACACCCACTCCTACTTTCTTGCCACCTCTCTCCTTGCCATTGGAAAACCTATTTTAGTAACCATCTGGGGTCCCCTTGATGCAACTGATCCACTGCTGGCAATGGGCTCTCCTGGAATGTTAAATTGTCATCTCCTGTAAAGGAAAATGTTATGGAAATTTACCAAAAAGCCAGTCTTGAGCTTAATCCTGCAGTAGAACTCCCACTCCCAGACCATTGGTGTCCCAGCCTCTGGGCTTCCTTAGAGCACCATTTCTTCCAACACAAGCCATTTATCTGGAATTTCTAATTAAAGCAGTTGTGTAGCATCCAGAGCATCAGGGAAGGCTGTACTCCCTGTATCCAATTACAGGTCATAAGTATAGCTCATATGTATTAATAATAAATGGTGGCCTGTAGTTTCAGCTCTGTTAGGTTTTTCTTGGGAATGGGGAAGTTCCCAGTCTTTCCCCTCCACTCCAAGGGTTTTTCCTTCATCGCTGATTTTTCTATCAGCAGAATTTGCTCTATTCAGAAAGACATTGAATAGCTCCTTTTTATTCTACTGGTCACAGAAACCTCAGCAAGCTCACTTTTTCACTTTTGAATAACAACCTCCCCCTGCCCCCAACCCCAAAACAAACAAAAAAACCCCCCAAATTAGCAGAAATGCTTTATTTTCATCACCACAGAGATACTAGGAGCTTTGCCAATGGTTTCACTTTCATCTCATGACTATAGGAGTGAAAGAGATGTTAATCAGCTCTTCAGTTTAGGGGAACTTCCTAGGCCTTTATTACATTCCAGAGAGAAAGCCCTCTGCAAATTAACACCATTAAACCAACTGCACAGCATTGAACAGACAAAGGCTTATATTCTTCTTTATTTTAAAGAGCATTTTCACTACACCTGTGTTTATTATAAACAGATTTCAGTTTAGTGTAGATGGAATCTACACAGTGGGAACCTCAGAACTGATTATCCTTAAATTTGAGCTATCTATAGACACAATGTTATGAAAGATTTTTGAATTAAGAATGTCTTCCCAAATTTAGAGGACAAGATTCCATGTTTCTGGCTAAATATTTGTGACATTTCTGCTTGAAATGATGGGAACTTTATAAAACAGATGACTGAGATGCCCACTGAGATCAAGAAGCTTCATTATCTATGTGCTACCTTGGCACATAATTTTATGAGAAAAGCTTGCCAGAATAAAATTATATGAACACTTAATCCTGACTCACTGTCCAATCCCAACCCAAGCTTTTGTTTCTGAACAAGACCCCATTGGTCCTCTTCAATTTACCTTTTAAGCCACTTAGCCTGGCCAAATCCAGCAATAAGCTACGGGAGGAGGGGCAAAACTGGGACACTGAGAGGAAGTGTATATCAGGAGTCAGTTCTTTACCTTGGCAACACACAACTCAAATTAGGGCTGCACATCCTGCTGTGAACAAGAATAATCTAGTATTTAGTTTTGAGGTTACTCATCAGGAAAATAAGGGAAATGCTGGCAGGAAATACAAATACAGCCCCTTTCTTTAAGTACTGTACAATGATAACTGTATATTAGCCAGCAAAACTCACTTATGTTTCAAAATAATTTTAACAGAACTTTAAAAAGTGATCAGAGAAGGCAAATCAAAGGAGAAGGTTCAAACAGACTGACCACAAGAGGCAGCAAGCTTTCAAACATTCAGTGTAAATCCCCCTGGAAAGAGCAGAATTGTTCCTATACGATAGCACAGAAGACAACATTCACTAAGTAAGTCTGATTTGTGTGCTCAGTGGTTGCATCAGTCACCATGCATTTA